CTTGTCTCCGCCGAAACTCCAAATCGGAACCCATTTTGACCGACAACGGAAAGAACTTGGTGTCTGCTCTGATATAGCTGCCTATACTGCTGCCATGGCCCCTAATCTGCCATGGCCCCTGTTCCTGCCTCCTCAATGCTGCTGCCAGGTTCCACAGTGTCCTCATGCCATGGTGCCACTTTCAGTCTCCTCACACTGCCTGGGGTGTTCCATTATATTGTCGATAGGGTGCTGGCAGATTACGGTGCCTCCTATAAAGCCTGCACTGTCCAGGCCCCCTAATCTGCCATGGGCCCCTATACCGCCTCCTCATGCTGCTGCCAGGTCCAGAGTCTCTCCATGGGTCCCTGTACGGCCTCCCATTGCTGCTGTCCCTCCATCGCCACACTCTGCCATGTGCCACTTTCAGGTCTCCTCACACACCTGCTGGTATGTTGACATTTTTTGTCATATGGTGCTGGGCCAGATTAACGGGCCTCCCATAGCTTGCTGCCAGGCCCCTAATTCTGCCATGGGCCACTGTACCGCCTACCTCATGCTTGCTGCCGAGGTCCACAGTGTCCTCATGCCATGTGCCACTTTCAGGTCTCCTCACACTGCAGTGTGTGGTTCCATTTTTTGTCATAGGGTGCTGGCAGATTACGGGCCTCCTCCCATAGCTGCTGCCAGGCCCCTAATCTGCCATGGGCCCCTATACCCGCCTCCTCAATGCTGCTGCCAAGTCCAGAGTCTCTCATGGGTCCCTGTACAAGCCTCCCATTCGCTGCTGTCTGCCATCGCCACACTCTGCCATGGCCACTTTCAGGTCTCCTCACACACTGCTGGTATGTTCAATTTTTTGACATAGGGTGCTGGGCAGATTACGGGCTCCCATAGCTGCTGCCAGGCCCCTAATCTGCCATGGGCCCCTATACCGGTCACCGCCTCCTCATGCTGCTGCCAGGTCCAGAGTCTGTCATGGGTCCCCCTTGACTCGGCCTCCCCATTTGCTGCTGTCCTCCATCGCCACACTCTGCCATGTGCCACTTTCAGTCTCCTCACACTGCTGGTGTGTTGAATTTTTTGACAGTAGGGTGCTGGCAGATTACGGGCCTTCCCCATTTGCTGCTGCCAGGCCCCTAATCTGCCATAAGGCCCCCTATACCGCCATCCCTCATGCTGCTGCCGAAGTCCAGAGTGTCTCATCATGGCCACTCATGTCTGTACGGCCTCCCCATTTCTGCTGGGTGCTCCAATTACGCCACATAGCTCTGCCGAGGCCCCTAATCTGCCATGGTGGCCACTCCTCAGGTCTCCCATCACACTGCTGGGTCCCTGTAACGTTACCATTTTTTTCGTACATAGGGTGCTGTGCAGTTTAACGGGCCTCCTCACCCACGCTGCTGCCAGGCCCCTAATCTGCCATAGGGTATCCTCACAATACAAGCCTCCAATCATAGCCTGCTGCCAGGTCCAAAAATCTGCTACATGGGTCCCTGTACACAAGCCTCCTCATGCTGCTGTCTAACCTATCGTCCACACTCTGCCATTGTGCCACTTTCAGGTCTCCTCACACTGCTGGTGTATTACATCATTTTATTTTGTTATTTTTTTTGTTTTTTGTCATAGAGGTGCTGGCAGATTACGGGCCTTCTATAGCTGCTGCCAGGCCCCAATACTCTGCCATGGGGCCCCATATACCGCCTCCTCATGCTGCTGCAAAATCCAGAGTCCTCTCATCGGTCCCTGTAAACTGGCCCTCCCATTGCAGCTGATCTCCATCGCACACACTCTGCCATGTGCCACATTTCAGGTCCTCCTCACACTGCTGCTCGCTTGTTCAATTTTTTTGTCATAGGGTGCTGGCAGATTACGGGCCTCCCATAGCCTGCTGCAGAAGCCCCTAATCAGCCATATGGGCCCCTATACCGCCTCCTCATGCTACTGCCAGGTCTCCACAGTGGTCTCATAGCCATGTGCCAACTTTTCAGGTCTCCCTCCACACTGCTGTTTGTGTTTCCATTTTTTTGTCATAGGGTGCTAGGCAGATTACGGTCCTCCTATAGCTGCTGCCAGGCCCCTAATCTGCATGGGCCCCTATACCGCCTCCTCATGCTGCTGCCATTCCAGAGATCTGCTCATGGGTCCCTGTACGGCCTCCCCATTGCTGCTGTCTCCATCGCCACACTCTGCCATTTGCCACTTTCAGGTCTCCTCACACTGCTGGTGTTTGAATTCCAATTTTGACATAGGGTTCTGCAGATTACGGGCCTCCCAACGGCCTCCCATAGCTGCCTGCCAGCCCCTAAGCTGCCATGCCCATGTACGATCTCCTCAAGCTGCTGCCATAGTCCAGAGTCTCTCATGGGTCCCGGTACCTCCCATTGCTTGCTGTCTCATCCCATCTCTTCTCCATGTCCACTTTCAGGTCCTCCTCACACTGCTAGTGTGCATGCCATTTTTTGTCACAAGGTGCTGCAGATTACGTGCATCCCAAGCAGTGCTGCCCAGGCCCCTAATGCCTGCCATGGGCCCGCCCCCTGGTAATACCCCCCCGCCGGCCCTGGGCGCGCCCCCTATACCGCTCCTCATGCTTGCGGCCAAAGTCCTGAGGTCTCTCATGGGTTCCCTGTTCGCCTCCCATTGCCTGCTCGTCATCCCATGCGCACTCACACTCTCCATGTGCCACTTTCAAGGTCCTCCTCACACAGCCGCTGTGTTCCATTTTTTGTCATATGGTGGCTGCGCAGATTACGGTCCTCCTATAGCTGCTGCCAGACCCCATAATCTGCCATAGGCCCCTATAACCGCCTCCTCATGCTGCTAGCAGTCCACAGTGTCTCATCGCCACTGTGCCACTTCAGTCTCCTCACACTGCTGTCGTGTTCAATTTTTTGACATAAGGTGCTGCAGATTACGGGCCTCGCATAGCTGCTGCCAGGCCCCTATCTGCCATGGGCCCCCTATATACCGCCTCCTCATGATGCTGCTTCCAAGTCAAGTCCTCATCAGTACCCTTACCCCTCCATTCCTGCTGTCCTCTCCATCGCCACACCTCTGCCATTGCCACTTTCAGTCTCCTCACACTGCTGGTGTGTTACATTTTTTGTCATAGTAGCTGGCATATTACGTGCCTCCCATAGCTGCTTGCCAAGCCCCTAATCTGCCATGGGGCCCCCTATACCGCCCTCCTCATCTGCTCCAATCCAAGTCTCTCATGGCCCCTTACGGCCTCCCCATTGCTTCTGTCTCCATCGCCACACAACACTGCCTTGTGCCACTTCAGGTCTCCTCACACGGCGGTGTGTTCCATTTTTTGTCCATAGGTTCGCTGATTACGGCCCTCCCATAGCTGCTGCCAGGCCCTAATCTGCCAATGGGCCCCTATAAAACCCACGCCAAATCATGCTCTTTCCAGTCCAGAGTGTGTCTCCATGTCACCCAGTATACGTCCTCACCAGTGCTGCTGACTCCATCGCTACAACGCGCCATGTGCCACTTTCAGCTCTCCTCACACTGCTGGTGTTTACATTTTTTGTCATAGGGTGCTGGCAGATTATGTGCCTCCCTTCTGCTCAGGCCAGGTCCCCGTAATCTGCCATGGCCCCCCGTACCGACTCCTCATTCTGTGACATTTTGCTACTAGTTGGAATTCAACCGCTAACATATTTAGACCCCGCCTTTAACGAACAGCAAAAGGCCAACACTGATTTCCTGATGTTAAAAGCTGAATATAAGTGACTCCCGCCCTTGTATCTTAGAGGTCAGCCCATATGGCAGGCATCTATGCGTTGACAACCTGCGCTTTGCTCAGGGCCCATTGAGGATGCCAACCGCTATTCCTGAGATCGGCAGGACTATGGGACTGAACGACGCGACTTCCTCTGTTTCACGACTCCCCCCCCCCCAACCCCCCCCCCTTGGGAACAACTGCGGTTAACAATGGCTTGGGTCAGGTGAGCGGATAGACGTGGCGCACTAGATCTCAACTGCCACATTGACCCACTGTGGGGCAAGGACAGGAAAGAAAGGAGGAGGTAGAGTGAGGACATTGGTGCTCAGAGAATTATTGAGTGAAAATGGTGTTTATTCCACTCAGACCTGACCGTAAGTGGAGGAGCAGAAGCAGCTGGTCAGAGGAGGAGGAAGAGGAGACAGAGGATCCCAGAGCACTACCGAGGCAGTATGCTGTGGAGGATGGAGGCAGGGAGAGTCCCCTACGCATTTCCTTGATCACAAAATGGCCCATATCATGCTCGCTTGCTTGCTGACCGTCAGCCGAATTTATATACCATCAGACAGAGTTACTTTTTTTTCGGCTGTCCACACTTGTTGGGAACCCTCAGCTATACCCCGTTCAACAAAATATGTGGCCTATTTTCACACCTGCTGAAGGAGGTGCCAAAATAACGTACTATAAAAACCACCTATGTTAGTCACTGGTCGTCTGCCGTCTGCGCCAACGTCCATCCTCAGACACTGTGGGCCCTGTGCGCCTCGCCGTTCCGCTGCCTGCAGCAGGTGGGAGGGGTGGGGTGGTAGGAGCAGTGGCAGCTCCACTCACAGCAAAAGTCCCCCTTTTGCCCCTCAGTCGCAGTCGATGATGAGTAGCTTCTTCACCAGCGCAGTGAGAAACGACTAACCAGCCGCAGCCGCAGCAAGCAACAGGTGGACCCTGGAGCAGACCCCTCAAACAACAGGCTTAGGCCTACTTGGACAGCACCCTGCCAACCGAGTAACAATCCCCTTGACTACTGGGCAACGAAACTTGACCTTTGCCCCAACTAACTGAAATTTGCCCTTGAAAGGCTGTCACGCCCGGCCATTAGCGTGGCACAACGGAGGCGCCGTGTTTAGTGCGGCAGAGGTATTGCAACTCCGCGGAGGACACGACTGTCCACCCAAAGTGTGGAGAGACTCACGTTGTGAAAATGAATCAGTCGTGGATTAGTCTGGATTTCAAACTACACCAGTTTCCTGACACAACTGACTAAATCCCCATGAATCATGCCCCAAAACATTGCCACTTTCAGGTCTCCTCACACTGCTGGTGTGTTTCCATTTTTTGTCATAGGGTGCTGCAGATTACGGGCCTCCCATAGCTGCTGCCAGCCCCTAATCTGCCATGGGCCCCTATACCGCCTCCTCATGCTGCTGCCAGGTCCAGAGTCTCTCAATAGGGTCCCTGTACGCCTCCCATTGCTGCTTTCTCCATCCGCCACACTCTGCCATGTGCCACTTTCAGGTCTCCCACACTGCTGGGGGTTCCATTTTTGTCATAGGGTGCTGGCTGATTACCAGGCCTCCCATAGTCTGCTGCCAGGACCCTAATCTGCATGGCCCTCCGTAACCGACTCCTCATGAGCATGCTGCCAGGCCCGTAATCTGTCATGGGGGCCCCTGTACCAAGCCTCCTCATTAAGGCTGCTAGCCAGAGTCCAGAGTGTGTCATGGGTCCCTGTACGGCCTCCCATTGCTGCTGTCGATCCATCGCCACAACTCTGCCATGTGCCCACTTCAGGTCTCCTCACACTGCTGTGGTTTCCATTTTTGTCATAGGGTGCTGTATGGCCTCCCATTGCTGCTGCCTCCACCGCCACACTGTGGGCTCCACACTCTGGTTTTGGCCCCCGTGACTGCCCAAATGAGTGAAGTGTGCGGTTATTCTAAGATCGACGGCACTCTCTGCATGTCATACTGACTGTCAGTATTATTTCTCTTCCCCCAGCAGTACTCCAAGGGCATTTAAATTAAAGGTACAGTGTGCTGCACTAATATAAAGGCTCTCTGAAGCCTAGAATCACCACCTTTTATAAGTTAAATTCGCACGAATCATATTTGACTCGAATCGAAATTTTTTCCACGAAGTCGCCGAATCAGTCGAATCGAATTTTTGAATACTTCGCTCATCTGTAATATACAGTGTATATACATATAATATATAATAAATATATATCCCTATAATATACACGTTGTCATGGTTTACAAATAAATATTTAACATATTTAATAATGGCATACAATATAATTTTACAAGCCATTATAATAACTGTAGGTTTTAATTAAAAAAGTACTTTTTAATCAAGCTGTAAAGATCCTGTTATGCTATGGCAATGCTCTATTAGCCCTGTTTCCCAAAAGTTGTCAGAGTTGTCATCCTGTTACACAGGCTTTCAACAGCACTACAAGTTGCCATTTTGATGCATATTATTCAGGAATGGCCAGCTGTTGTAACCATCAGGAATCCCACATTGAGAAAAGTCATGCTGCCATTGCTGGAGTATACGCATGTAGACAAGAATTGGCTGCAAAGAGGTGCTGAGATCACCAGCACTGATATGCCACAAAAAAATAAATAATGAACACTAGAAGATTTCTGCCTGACTCAAAAGGTAAATGATGCTAGAGGCTTTTCCTAGTGATAACTGAATGGAGGTTATGTATCAAGCGAGAAAACAATCTATCAAAGTCTTGACATTTACAGATATCATAATATGAATCAGAAGCATGGAATGTAATGAGCCATGTGATTGTTTCTTTTCAGACATTTGTGACATGTCATGAGATATATTCCATCAGCTGGTATATCTATGTTAAGTTAATACTTCATCTTTATATAATGTAGCTTTTATCTAGTTGGAGCATTAGTGTTGCCAACAAAAACTAAGCTTGGTTCCTGAAAACATGCCTCTAACACTACAGGAGTACCATATGTTTTCAGTTCTATATCACAGACCTTTTTGCATTGCTGGTTGTTGATAAAGGCAAAGTACCTGGTGGTATGGAGAGATTCATTCCTGTATAAATCTTGTATAATAATTAATTCATGTGATCCAATTCAAGTACCTGATTGAAATGAAAGTGCTAAGGACTTGTTAAAGAAGTATAATCCAAACATCAGTGCAAACAGCATGAAACTAGATTACGAACATTTTCACTAGAGATTGTAGAGAGCAAAGTTTTGGATAATTTGAAAAAGGGGCACTGACCCTCTAAAACTGAATGAATTAATTAATATAAATTAAAATATAATGCTGTGACACCCATTGTGAATGAAGTCTTTCTGTTTTAGGGAAAAACTATGAAGCATATGTTTGTACTTCTAAAGTAAATGTTTCTACAATTTAAAGGGATAATCCAGAAGTTATGAGTGAGTTAACACACATGGATACTTAAACACTGTTTATACTGTAGAAATTGTATGATCACGAAAATAAGGCAATTTACGGCAATGGCACTATAAATGTTGCAAGCTTTAAATAGAAAAGGTGATATTTATCGGTATGGCACTTTTTCGAAAGTGATATAACATGAGTTTACAAACCACAGAATGCCTGGGGAGCACTTCCCTTGAAGGAGGTATAAGATTACTGGGTCACTCTGCGATCCCCAAAGTCCTTGCAGTTATCTGGCTGCTCATGGGAGCTAGTTCTGGGAAGGTGACAGAGAAGACATTCTGTAAATGGAAACCTACTCTTTTCCTCCTTCTCAGGTAGTTCTCTCTATCAAAGCTCCTACTCTGTTCCTAACCAGTAGGGCTTTGTCCCTGACCTATTCCCACATGATGGGCACACCAAATGAAGCTTAGTTTGCTATTTGAGCACTTCTGTGTCAAAATAGCCACCCAAACCTCACTGGATTTCGTAATTCAATAAGAGACGCCAGCCTTTCCAAGATGACCTGAAGAAATGGAACAGTGCCTCCTTCAGTTCAGTGGATATGCTGCAGTCAGACATCTGCTGCAAGCTGGTAGCAACTTTAACAGATTCAGACTATACAGAGATTAACAACTTTAAGTTGTCATAGATGTTATGGTCTAAATGATCTGATCATAATGGCAGATCTGCTCTGCTTATTGCTCAGTTTGAAATCCTTCACAGTGCAGCAGATGGCTGGGGAAGGTAAGGGACAGAAGCTCATGGTGCAGTTGCACTCCAAGTCACTAGCACTACCACCATAGCTCACAAGGTTGGAGACTCTCAGCCCAACCCTGGGTGAAAGAATACCTTTAAAAGCGAAGATCTGGCCAGTGACATGGAAGTTCAGTGGATGACATAACCTTACAACACATACAGTGTGGGGTTGATTTACTAAAACTGGAGAGTGGAAAATCTGGTGCATAGAATCAATCAGCTTCCAGTTTTTTTGTTAAAGTGGTTATAAAGGCTCCAGGTTTTTTACATTCTTGCTTTCTTCTGTGTGTAGAAGCCCCCCAACACTTACCTGAACCTCATCCCGATCTAGCAATGTCCATGAGAGCCTCAGTTCTCCGTGAACTCTCACCCCTGATTGGCTCTTGCTGCTGTCAATCACAGCCAGTGAGTGAATCAGGAGATCGAGTGGGCAGCACCAAGCCTCAGCTCTGTGTGTGAATGGACATGCAGAGCCATATCTTGGGAGCAAGCTGCTTGCTGTGGGGGCACTTGACAGGAGGAAGGGTCCAGGAGCACCGGCGGGGGACTCGAGAAGAGAAGGATCCAGAATGCTCTATGCAAAACCATTGTACAGAGAAGGTAATTATGACATGTTTGTTATTTGAAAAACAAAAACAAGACTTTAGTATCACTTTAATGCTTAATTGAACAAGCTGAACTCAGAAGCTGATTAGCTACCATGCACAGCTGTGTCAGATTTTGCACTCTACAGTTTTAGTAAATCAACCTCAATTTATCCAGTCACAAGTCATTAAAGGCAGATCACTGCCCTGACCATTAACAAAACAGACCTTATCACCCAAAAAACCACTGGAGAATATGATATTAAGTATTTCTGCTTTCCTGACAGCTCCATGTCAGCACAGCTGGGTAAGGGCCCTGCCTTCCTATGCTTCCAGGAGCTAACTCATAAATTTGAACCCACCTGCAGCCTTGGAGTCCATGCGTGTGGGTTTCAGCTGGATGTGGTCCCTGGTGTACCGGGTAAATGACCCATAATCCAGGGAGCCCTCTGTTTGTCCTCAGGGCAGCTTTTATCATGGTTAAAAGCCTTGTCTGGGGTCAGCTGGGTCCATGTGAAGTGGGCAGCGGTGTCAGCAGAGTCTCTCCTAGGCACGCACAGTTGTGCAATGCCAGTGTTTACAGTTGAATGGTGGAGGTTGGGTGAGTTAATTTTAAAAACGCTTTGTATCCAAATGAATGATGCATTGATAGGTATTGTTATGCCTTGCTTCCTGCAGCTGCTGTTGATACCCTGAGCTCCTCCACAGATAGTACTCTGCATAAGAGGTGTACAAAGTAATACTTTGTTCACAAATGGCATTACCTGATGGTGGCTTCTCATGTTTGCTTTACTATTGTGCTATTATGCCAACCCCCTCAAAAGACCAGCCTTCCCAGAGAAGGTAGAGGAGTCACCTGTGGATGACTACTGTAGCCAGCAATGCCTATTGAATTACAGAATGTCCTTTTATATTTATTTGTTTGTGCTCTCCAGTTTCTCCAAAAAAAGAAAGAGAAATGTCAACAAATCTCTTGGATGGTCTGTGTAAATTGCAGAATAATATCATTCTGTTGCAGATTCCTACCTTTTTGTTGCTCATCTTAACAAAACTTTTTTTTATCATGTCCTGTTCTCTGGCAGGGCAAGGTTTGGTTCATTAACCACTTGGTGACGTCAGCGCTGTGGTTGGAAGCTGCAGCATCTGCATCCCTCTAGCAGTGGTTAATAATTTAGGGTTTGTTACTAAGCAAGCTATTTTTCTACTTCATTAAATTATTATTATTTTTTTGTAGCTGCTTTAAGCAGCAGGCAAAACCCTGTGAAAGGATTATCTAGTCTGGCAATGAGTCTCAGAGCTTTCCCAAGCAAAATAACCCTCTTCAGACTTTTCAAAAAAGAAGACACAGATGAAAATAATTGTGAGATAAACATGAGTGTAAGTGTTTTATTCACCTTGTGAAGGAGTTATGTGTTCTAAAAATGAGCAGTCTTGTAGCCTTCCCAGGGCAAAAAGCATCTTCAGACTCTCCAAAGGGGGAAGAAATGGATGTACATGACGGTATGAATCTTACTTTGTTCAAGCAACCAGAAATGAGGATGATGACACCCAACATGTTGTCACATTCATCACACAAAGTGGCCAGTACACTCAAAAGGAGTTGTTTCCACTCACCCTGTGAAAGGATATATGTTCTGGCAATTAGAAATCTCATAGTCATGCAAGGCAAGGCAGCCTCTGCAGACTCTGAAGAGGAAGATGTGGACGAGCATGACTGTATGTATCCTGCTGGTTTAAGCAGCCAGGGATAGAGATGATGACACCTAACAGGATGAAACATTCAATAAGCACATTGTCAATACACTCTAAAGGAGTGGTTTCCACTTACCCTTTGAAAGAGTTATCTGCTTTGGCAATGAGAAGCTGCCTAGTCTTCCCAGACGAAACATCCCTCTTCATAGTTTACAAAGAGGACCATGTGGATGGACATGACTACATGAATACTGCTTTGTTCAAGCAACCAAGGATAAAGATGATGACACCTAGCAGGTTGTCACATGAGGCTAATACACTCTAAAGGAGTGTTTCCACTCACACTGTGAAGAGGTTATCTATTCTATCAAGGAGCAGTCTCCTAGCCTTCTAGACAAACAATCCTCTTCAGACTCTTCCAAAAGAAGAGTCGGATGAGCATGACTGTATGAACCATGCTGATTCAAGCAACCAATCAGCAGTCTCAGAACCTTCTCAGGCATATCAGCTCTTGTCAGATTTCATCCAAAAGAACATGTGGATGAACATGACTGTCTGATTCCTGCTTTGTTCAAGTAGACAGTGATTAAGA